CCAGAGGTTTTGCTCGGGCACACTCTCTCTTTCCCAGCAGCTGCTACACAATGTCGCACAGCCAGGCTATAGTCAGTACAGGTCAGGCCGCAATTCCACAGCTGTGCTGCAGACTCTGTCTGGCTTGTGTTCCATTTACTGTAGAACCTGAAACTGCTGCTATTCTCTATAAACTCATGTGGATCACGAACCAGGCTTCCGCGTGAATTCGTTCTTGCGTGGAGCCAAGGACTGAGGTATATCTCTACCCTGAGAGATCTAACAGTATAAGCACTACTGAACACCATAGTCATTGATCATCATCAGGGAGTGCTTTAAGTCTTCTCAGCCTTCAGCAAACAATATTGTCATTTGCATATCACAGTTGCTAATAAGCCTTCCTCCAATCCTAATTCTATCAGTCTTCCTTTCTTCTTCATGTAAGTCTAATTTCTTGGAATATTTTCTCAGCACACAAATTGAATAAATATATTGGAAGACAGATTTTCTCATTAATAGTCTAAGTAATGCTAAGCATTTTCCCCAAGGGCTAGCAGCTTCCCCTTGGTTTATCCGCCTATAGAAGCGAAATCATTTTATCAGAGACAGACCTAACTCTCCCCCAATCCCCTTCCCTACTCTGGTCATGAATTCCAATTGAGCGCACTGATCACCATTAATGGAGTGTCTATTAATTTGAGGTGAAAATGAGTTAATGCTTATGGCAGCATCTAGTTCAGTGGTTCTCAACCTTCATAATTCCACGACCCCTTAATACAGTTCCTCATGTTGTAGTGACCTCCCAACCATAAAATTATTTTTGTTGGTACTTCATAACTGTAATTTTGCTACTGTTATGAATAGGACCACCTCTGTGAAAGGGGAGTTCAACCCCCCCAAAGGGGTCATGACCCACAGGTTGAGAACCGCTGATCTAGCTGATGCTGGCTGTCTCGCTTGTGAATAAATAATTGACCCCAGCTGAGGTGAGGCCTCCTTTAAGAAGTGGCTTTTAAGATGTTCAAATAAGGAGTGATAAATGGATAATATTAAACAGACATACCACACATTCTTTGGGAGGCCAGATTAAAAACACTTACATGACTTGAAAAGATACCTCTCTTTGTCTTGGTGTTTGTTCTTATAGTAATGGTCTCATACAATATTCATCTTTTGATGATTGCCTAACTTCACTCAGCATTATATTCTCCAGTTTCATCTATGTCTAGAAGTACTTCCTCATTTCATAAATTTTTAAAAAACTTTTGACAAGTTTACTTAATCCAGTCTAACAAAAAAGGCACAATTTGACTAAATGTATCAATTTTTAAAAAATGAGGCATAAAATTCCATTGCGTGTATGAATCTCAGTTTCTTTAGCCATTATTTTACCGACGGGTTGTTTCTAACTTCTTGCTATTGTGAGTGGTGCTGCCCCGTCTGTTCATGCACACGGCGTCTCTGACTTCCTGAGGGTAGACACCCAAGAGAGGGGTTGCAGGATCATATGGGATTTCTATTCCCAGTGGTTGTAGGTAGAACTATATTGCTTCCCACAAGGTTTACACAGGATTACAGGCTCACCAGCAGTGTATAAGAATTTCAAGCACTCGGCACTCTCTCCAGCATTTTTTTTAAAAAATTGGGCTCTCCTTGGTGGTGTGGGTGATATCCCATCTTCATTTTGATTGGCATCTGTGAGCCAGATGG